CGTGGGAGGCCCCTGGCACGGCAGAGCAGCCCCAGCTGCAATGGGTGACCCGGGCCCAGCGCACAAGCCACCCACCCTGGCTGTTCACCTAACAGAGCTATGCAGGTCCCCGATGCAGCAGGATCCCTGGCGGCTCAGGTTTCCTTCTCTCCTTATTTCTTACATCATTCCCATTTACATCCTGGCACAGCTGGTGACACCTGAGTTCCTAATGGCCAAACCAGGCAGAACCAATCTGGCTCTGGGCAGGGAAGCGAGCTCTTGCCCTTCACTTTTTGGGTTTCTCTCTGCTGAAAACGAGCAAGAAAGTGACAAGGGATCTCTGCCTCACAGGACACCCCAGCTTGCAGGTCCCAGTGCCCCCAGTGCTGCCCAGGCTGGGCAAGTCTCTTCCAGACATGTCCCCATACCCAGCTGGGCACGGGACGGTTGGTGGCAGCTGGAGCAGGGCACAAGCAGCAGAATGGGGCAGGGGAGGCTGAAGGAGGATGGCAGATACGGGTAGAGCCCACAGTCCTGCTGCTTGTGGGGTACGTGCAGTGCTGAAGGGCTCGGCCTGCCTGGGGTGAGCAGGAGCTTTGGAGACGCTCTGGGCACCGAGCAAAACTCAGCCCCGTTCCCGCGTCCCGGCCTGGGCCTCCCACTTCGCAAGGTGAAGAGCCTGATTAGGAACATGTCAACTGGAGCAGTGAGCTGATTACGGCGTGAGCACGCATGCTGCTGTAATCCCATTAGCATTACAAATCCTAAATATAGCAGTGCAAATCTATCTTGTCTGCTTCCCCAGTCCCAGCAGGATGCTTGCCGTGGGGACAGCGCCGTACACACAGCGTCTCGGAGCCGCTCCGGAGCTGTCTTGCCCATTACAGGGAAGATTCCTGCATGCAGGGAGAGCCCCAGCTCTGCTCCATGCCCCTCCGTGGTCATGGGGCCCAAGACTGGGCCTAGACACAGGCTGCAGCCCCATGCAGGCTGCAAGAAAACTCTAATCCTGCCCTGGGGAGTTGCACGGTGCAGCAGGAGCAACAGGGAGAGCGAGGAGCAGAGCAGGAGGGGGCCCTGCAGCCAAAAAAAAAAAAAGGCAGTTTTTAGCCATGGCGATTCATGGGGTTACACAGGTGGAGGAGGAACAGGCTGAGCTGAGTGGCCAAGAGCTGCTCTCAGAGCCTTGACGTTCACTGCATCCTCGGGCAGCAGCTGCTGAGCACGGGGCAGCTCAGGCTTGATCTGCACAAGGCAGTTTTTGGATGATGCCAACGGCGATGCTGCCACCCCCGGCCCTGTGCCCCTAGCGCCCGTGTTCCTGCTGCCCGGGTTTCCTGCTCTGCCCTCGCAAGGAGGGATTCACCCGCAAGGAGGGATTCACGTGCCCGGCTCCCTGCGTTGTGGCGAGGGCAGCCAAGCCCGCTCCATGCGTAGGCACCTCCTCGTCCCCACCAGCCCGAGAGCTGCACCGCGGTCGCCGGCCTCGGAGAGCGTCTGCAGCCGGGTACTCACGCGCCA